TGTCTGCTCCTCGACAATTGTGGTCTGAAGATAACATTAACAGTATACCAGCCCCACCATACCAGAAGCCGAAACGCTCCACAGAAAATTTATCAGAAGAAGCATCCGGATCCTCTGATCTAGTCCTGCCGAAGATTGACGACTTACACCATTATGATGAATCAACTTCTGTTTGTTTACTGGGACGCACTGCCGTTGGCATCATGGAAGCCCCCGAGCTCCCCGCCACAGTCGAGCCATTCCCGCCAGCGACCTGCAGCCGTCCCGGCCCTGTGTGTGGGCCTGGTGAAGGGGTCTTCCAACCACTCGTTTACGGCAAGTATGAACTCGTCCATGTGAATTCAACTGTTGATCCGCCACTTGGTTTCAGTTCATCTTCGCTTATGGCCACCATTTCGAGCCTTTCTACGCCAGGTGATCTTTCGCTGCCTGATAGTTCACCGTTCTTTCGTTCGGATCTTGGACAAGCTACCATTGACACGGCTCGCACCGAACCCTGGTAGCGGTTTACGAGTCTACTATCAAAAAACCAGGGGGCTCATGACTAAATTGGACGATGTTTATCTGGCTGCGCTTGACGGGGAATATGACGTTTATGTATTCACGAAAACTTGGCTCGATGGGAGGATCAATTCAGTGCAACTGTTTGATGACTCTTTTACTGTCTACAGATTCGACCGTAATTCACCCAGCAGCATCCGTACTCGCGGTGGTGGTGCCCTCATCGTTGTTTCCAACGCATTCGCCTCCTGCGTTATCTCCAACGAACTATTTACTACAATTGAAGCGGTTTGGGTTAAGGTCAGCCTCACTTCGCGGAACATCCTCATTGGAGCGGTGTATATTCCCCCTGAACGTCGACATGACTGCACCACAATGCAGCTTCATCTGGATGCTACAGAATTTGCATCGTCCATGGCTGATATAACGGATGTGTTTCTTCTGCTTGGTGATTTTAATCAGCCTGGGCCTAGCTGGTCACCCTCAGGCCAGGGTTATGCGTTTCCAGATCCGATTGCATCTTCAACTACTCCTGCCAGCCGCTTGTTAGTTGACGGCACGGATTTTCATGGACTGAGCCAGATAAACCTTGTTCCCAATTTGTTAGCGAAAGTGCACTTCTTGACTGTGTCGTCGCTGAAGCGCCTGATGTCATCGTTCCTCTTGACAATTTTCACCCTGCTTTGGATATATCTATCGCGAACGGATCTCAAATTCGTTTTGATGAAACCATGACTGCCAGTCGGCTCAATTTCCGGAAGACCGATTTCCGTTTGCTGGGGCGTACCTTGTCCCGGATCAACTGGAACGTGTTGAATGACCTTGATATCGATACAGCAGCCGCTCGCTATAATAGCCTTTTGCGCAACTGTGTTTGTGCTTCAGTACCGAAGTGCCAACCTCCAAGAAAACCGCCTTGGTCTAACGCTACTCTCCGCAACCTGAAACGAGTGCGATCTAGAGCTCTCCGTGCTCTCACTCATCGACGATGTACCCTTGCCAAGCGAAATTTTTCAATTGCCAGCAATGATTATCGCCACTACAACAAGCTTCTTTACAAGAGGTATGTAATTCGTACTCAACATAATCTGCAATGCCACCCCAAGTGATTCTGGTCGTTTGTGAATACGAAGAGGAAGGAAACTGGACTGCCGTCAAAAATGTTTCTCGGCAATGACGTGGCATTGACAACTGAGGACAAATGCAGCCTATTTGCTAGGCACTTCTTAAGTGTCTTCTCGAATGACTCCCCATCGCAAGCAGAAATTGAGCGAACCGTCCGTGATGTGCCAACCGACGTCGTAAACATTAATGTTTTTTGCCGTAGATGTACAAATGGTTCTCTCTGTGATGAGTAAAACCAAATAATCATTTTCAACAGGTCCGAGTGTTATTCCATCTGCTGTCCTAAAAAAATGCTCCGATATCTTAGCTGCTCCGTTGTCCTTGCTCTTCAACCTGTCACTTCGTCAACAGGAATTTCCCGCACTATGGAAACGCTCTTCTATGTTCCCTGTTTTCAAGAAAGGAGACAAACGCAATGTGGAAAACTACCATGAAATTACCTTGCTTGGGGTTGAATCTAAGTTGTTTGAGTCGCTGATAAATGAGAGATTGTTTGCTTCCTGCAAGCATTACATAAGTACATGTCAACATGGTTTCTTTCCTGGCCGCTCCGTGGAAACTAATTCGTCGTTCTGTATGGAAAATGTATGCAAGAAACTTCAAGTGGATGTCATCTACACTGATCTTAAAGCTGCGTTTGATAGAGTTGTGCACGACGTTCTGCTAGCTAAGCTTGAAAAAATTGGATGTTCTGGCTTAGATCGTACCTCGTACAACGTGAAGTTACTGTATGCATCGGAAACTACTCATCGTACTGTTTCTCGAACAGATCAGGAGTTCCACAGGGTAGCACTTTGGGACCACTGCTCTTCTCTTTGTTTGTGAACGATGTAACGTTTATTCTACTACGTGGAGCTAAATGTTTTTTTGCCGATGACTTGAAGATTTATCTAGTCGTTCGAGGCTATGCCGACTGTTTAGAACTACAAAACCTTTGAAATCTTTAATGATTGGTGTGTGAACGTAATGTATGGTCCTGTGCGTCTCAAAGTGCTACGTATTAGTTTTCGTCGAACTAAGACTGCCGTTTTGTTTGATTATATCGTTGCTGGGACTGCAGTTCAACGTGTCGATCACGTTAAAGACCTCGGTGTCATGTTGGATGTTCAAGATATCTAAGGAATTTCGTGATCCTCTGTGTTTTAAAGCCCTTTACTGTTCATTGGTACGCTCACTACTGGAATTCGCGTGTGTTGTCTGGAATCCCTACCAAGCAGTATGGAGTGGACGATTCGAAGCTGTTCAACGCAAATTCGTCAGATACACACTGCGCTATCTTCCATGGAGTGACCCGCTGAATTTACCACCGTATGCTGACCGCTGTCGTTTACTGGGTTTGGATACTCTTGTTAAGCGACGAAACATATCGCAGGTCGTCTTCGTTGCTAAAGTTTTACTCACAGAATATGATGTTCCTGAGTTACTGGCCAAAATTAATCTGTATGCTCCTGCCCGAACACTCCGTCCGAGAACCTTGCTACATAAAGTAGTACATGCAACCAACTATGCTGCAAACAGTTCCTTTGTCGCCATGATTCATCAATTCAACGAAGCCTCTGACCTATTTGACTTTGACATCAATGCCTCCAGGTCGGTTAATGCTGGGTAATGCGCAATACAGATCCCATTGAGATCACTAGCCTCTTCCCAGCAACTCCTATCCCTACCTCCCCGTGGTACCGGCCGGGAACTATGAGCAACCTTAGGGAAGATCGGGTAACCAACCCCGGTGGGAACTTTGGTCATAGGCTGACAGGGAAGGGGGAGTTTGCCTCGGCAAGCCTGAGCGTCTGTTCTCCAGGAGGAGCGGCTCACAACAGCGTCTGTTCCCATGTTAGGGGCGGCTGATCTACGTCCGAGTGCCAGTGAAGGACTCTAAGCACAACTGTGCACCCTGGTCCTCCGGAAAGTTAGGGGGTTGGTGTCAGGCCCTGCGAGCCAGCCGTAAAAAAATCATTGCAACGGAAAATCAGCAACAAGAGAAATAGGACTTGCGATTGGAAACTCGGCACGTGGAACTGTCGATCCCTCAATTTCATCGGGAGCACCCGAATACTCGCCAATCTACTGAAGGACCGCGGATTCAGTATCGTAGCGCTGCAGGAGGTGTGTTGGACAGGATCCATGGTGCGAACGTTCAGAGGTAATTATACCATCTACCAGAGTTGCGGCAACACACGCGAGCTGGGCACAGCTTTCATCGTGATGGGCGAAATGCAGAAGCGCGTGATCGGTTGGTGCACTTCGATGTGCACCTGAATGGCGAGGAGAACGTAGGCACGGGAGACCAGCGCAATGGAGGAAACGACTACGTCAGTGCAGCAGAGGACAGAACTGACCCAACTCCCACGCTGAGGGAAGTTAAGGACTCCATTCAGCAGCTAAAAAACAACAAAGCAGCTGGTAAGGATGGTATTGCAGCCGAACTCATCAAGATGGGCCCAGAAAAGTTGGCCACCTGCCTGCACCGGATGATAGTCAAGATCTGGAAAACAGAACAGCTACCGGAGGAGTGGAAGAAGGGGGTAATCTGCCCCATTCACAAGAAAGGCGACCATTTGGAATGTGAGAACTTCAGAGCGATCACCATTTTGAATGCCGCCTACAAAGTGCTATCCCAGATCATCTTCCGTCGTCTATCACCTAAAATGACCGAGTTCGTGGGAAGTTATCAAGCCGGCTTCATTGACGGCCGATCGACAACGGACCAGATCTTCACCGTACAGCAAATCCTTCAGAAATGCCGTGAATACCAGGTCCCAACGCATCTGTTGCGAAGACGGCGAAACTTGAAACCAAATTCTATGAATTTATTCCGTATTGATGGAAACAATTATAAAATTCCTGCGAAAGAAACTCTTATAAACAATGTTAACATTTTTGTTATTTTTACCTTACTATTAGCGTTTCTAGTCTCGTAGTTTTCTCGCGCAACAATTGTTCTAATGTCCTACTTGTCCTCCTTTTTTTACTCCTCCTCCATTAACGTGGACTGTTCTCATAGGTTTTCCTCCACCTTTTCGTCTAGACAAAGTAGAATACGAGGTAGAATAACATAATTTTCACTCATCTCTCATTACCTAAAATCTCACCTAGATTAAGCTTTATCGAGAGGCACTAAGTTAAATTAGGTTTAAGAATAAATTCACTTTAGCTCATAGGAATTAAACTAGTATAAGTATTTTAATTTCACTTTTGAAGCAATAGAATTTAATTTAATCTGAAACCTTTCACCTTCCGCGATGGCTATTTGTTTACGATTATCTTCTTTTTTCGTCCACGTATTGTTTATCCTTGGTATCGCAGCCGATCCCTTCGCCAGCGCCAGGTGTGGCGCGCAGTGATGCAGCGTCGAATGGGGGCACCGACACTCTTTACCGACGGGGCGTAGTCAACACTCCCCCCGGAATGCGCGAAGGATCATCCGATAGCGTATTCGTCCTAACGCCTACGTCGAGCACAGCCAATGAAATGGCCGGGCGCTCGTATATTCCACCAGACGCTGTTTGTACTGTCGCCGACCGTACCTGTCCGTCTGGAGCCTGATGCGTAGCGATAACTCTTCCCTTAGGCCAGCAGTTTCTGGATAGCTTCTCGTCAACGATTACCACAGTATCACCGACAGTAATTGGAGTCGCTGGAGTGAACCACTTCGTTCTTCGCGTAAGACAGGGTAGATAGTCTCGTACCCACTGCTTCCAGAACTTGTCAGCCATAACTTGTGACTGGATCCAGCAGTTCCTCCGTAGGATGGGATTATCGTTGAACGGAACCCATGATCTGAGGCCGTTTGCTGACCCTAGCAGGAAGTGGTTGGGTGTCAAAACGGGTGACTCGTCATCGTCTACGGGAAGGTCCGTTAATGGTCGAGAGTTGACGATGTTTTCAACCTCCACCATCGCATTCTGCAACACTTCGTCGGTCGGTAGTCTGCTAGGTTGTACCTTAGCTAGGTTTTGCTTCACGCTACGGATCAGCCTTTCCCATGCTCCGCCCATGTGTGGTGAAACCGGTGGAATAAATGTCCACTGGGTACGACTCGTAGTGAATTCGCTGGCCAGTCTGTTTTGATCGAGTAGCTCGATTGCCACCTTTAGTTCCTTGCTGGTGGCCTGGAAGTTGGTCCCACGGTCGCTGTAGATCACAGCAGGAACTCCTCTCCTAGCCATGACGTTTCGGATTGCCATTACGCAGGAGTCGGTGGTCAGTGTGTGAGCGATCTGCAAGTGGATGGCGCGTGTGGTCAGACAGGTCGCGAGAACCCCCCACCGTTTTTCAGAATGTCGGCCCACCGATACTAATATTGGACTGAAATAATCCACCCCCATGTAGGTAAAAGGACGACTGAATGCAGCCAGGCGTGACTGCGGAAGATCGCCCATCATCGGAGGACGTGGTTTCGCTAGGTCATTCTTGCACTGCTGACAGTCTTTCTGAACAGCGTTGTAGGTCGCTTTCAGCCGAGGAATGCGGTACCGTTGCAGGAGCTCGTTGACAATCGTTGCGTGGTTCTGGTGGTTGAACCGCTCGTGGGCCTCAGCTATGATTAGTCGGGTGACTTGATGATGACGAGGAAGAATAATGGGTTCAGCAGCATCACGATCGACGAATGCGCACGCCTTCGTTCGACCTCGGAATCGGGCAACTCCGTTTTCGTCCAAGAAAGCGGTACGAAAGAGTGGGTTGTTTCGAATGATCCTTCCTTTGGTGCTCGTTTGGTGATATCCCGCTGCCAGCGTGGTGATCTCGTCCGCGTAACCTTCGGACTGTGCTAGGCGGAACAAGTAGTTTTCAGCTCTAGCCAGTTCCTGCTGAGTCAGCGACCCATTGACACGTTGTTCCTTTCTTGTGGACCGCTTCAGGTTGTGAACGTACTGGAGGACGTACGTTGTGCGACGAAGGAGAGGACTCCAGCGAGAGAAGTATTGTGGATCGATAACTGGTTTTGTTATTGATTCGTGGAATAGCAAGTGTGGGCGCAGCTCTTCGTCGGTAGTTTTTCCGAAGCCTGGTGAGACAGGCCACTCCTGTTGTTCTCGCCAAAGGAATTCTGGCCCCCTGAACCAGCGACTGTCTGCAGATAAATCTGGAGTTCGTGCCCACTTTGCTCCATCATCGGCCACGTTCAGCTTCGTTGGAACCCACCGCCATTCACTAATCTCCGTCGACTCTAGGATCTCGCTGACCCGGAAGGCGACAAATTGGCTGTATCGCCGATGGTCAGATCCTAACCAGCAGAGCACGTCCTTGGAGTCCGTCCAGAAAAACCGCTTCGAGACCTTGATGGACAGAGACGACAGTATTGTGTCTGCAAGTCGTGCACCAAGAAGAGCCGCTTGGAGCTCAGATCGCGGGATTGACAGGAACTTCAGTGGAGCTACCCTAGTTTTAGCTCCCGCCAAGGCACATTCGATCGTGTCTCCCTCAGTGAATCGAAGGTAGACGACCGCTGCAAACCCATTCTCACTGGCGTCGACGAACGTATGCATCTCAATCTCTGCTTCAACGGATGTCAAGGATCGGTAGCATCGGGGAACCTCGACGGAACTCATCTGTGGAAACACTGCCAGCCATGTCAACCATTTTTCGAACTGCGTATCTTGAATTGGATCATCCCAGCCGATTGCTGTCCTCCAAATCTCCTGCAGCAGCACCTTCAGGAACATCAGCAGATGTGAGATAAATCCCAACGGATCGTAGACCATCATCAGCATTCGAAGAACTTCTCGCTTTGTTGGTCGACGGCTTCCGGTTAAAAAGCCTTGGTCGTATCGGGATGATACTTTGTAAGTGTAACGATCTGTCATGGTGTTCCACCACATCCCTAGCACCTTCTCCGTTGTAGCTTCCTCACCGATGTTCAGGTTTTTCTCCTCCGTTGCTTCACCTTTAAGCGTTGCCTGAACCCTTTTGGAGTTCGAAATCCAGTTTCGTATCTCGAATCCGCCACGCTCATGAATTTTCTTCACCTCTTGTGCCAGTTTCACAGCTTCTTGTTCCGTTTCCGTGCTTACCAGCATGTCATCGACGTAGTGTCGCTTGATGATGGCGTCGACTGCTTCCGGGTGGTCCTGTTCAAAACGCTTCGCATTAGTGTTCTTGACGTGTTGCTCGATGCTCGGTGAACAGCAGGCTCCGAAGGTCATTACCTGAACGACGTACAAGCTGGGTTCTATTTCGTTTTCCTCTAACCAGAAGAAGCGTTGGCACTGTTGATCCATATACCGCATCAGAATCTGATGGAACATCTCTCTGATATCCCCACATACGGCCACCTTGAACTCTCTGAAGCGGATTAATACGGACAGAAGCGATGCCAGCTCATCGGGACCCTTTAGAAGGACCGAGTTGAGAGAAACGCCGTGAACCTTGGCTGCAGCATCCCATACCATGCGTATCTTTCCAGGTTTGTTAGGGTTTTCTACGACGAATATCGGAAGGTACCAGACCCGTGGATGTGGCTCGTGGAGTTCTTCAGCAGTCAGCTTCCTAACATAGCCCTTGCTGATATGTTCCCGCATCTTCGTCTTGAGCGCGTCTGCTAAGGCTGGATCTTTTATCATCCGATTTTCCAGACACTTCCACCGCCGTAGGGCCATCGCTTTACTGTCCGGGAGTCGGACATTCTCGTACTTCCATAGAAGACCACATTCATAACGGTTATCTCCTAAGCGGGTTAGAGAATCCAACAGGGATCGAGCTCGCTGTTCTTCCTGCGACAGCAGTAGCTTGTTTGGTTTGACAACCCCGAGGCTATCAAGCGCGAAGTACGATTTCATCGCTTTATGGAGATCATCATCATTCTCCCGATTGCAATCGCAGGTTTGGACACTGTGGTAGTTCAGATATCCGGCCGCCTCTTCCTTTCCGGTACAGTTGCCGTACACCATCCAGCCTAAGCGAGACTTCACTGCGATTGGCTCATTCTGCTTTCCCTCCCGGCTCTTGATTCCATGTCCGAGTTTGGCGTGATTTAAACCGATGAGGATTCGAGGACTGATGTCTTCGTACGCTTCGAGCGGTAGTCCAGCCAGGTGTGGATATTTGTTCTGCATCTCGGCCAGCAGCAGCGTTTGCGGACGAATTTGAAGGGAAGACATGGTGTACACTCCCGACAGGTCGTACTTTTTCGAGCTTCGCACACCGGATATTTGCAGATTCACTTGCTGCGACTCGTTTTCCACCCTACGGGTTCCGCCGGTCCATTTAAGGCACAGCGATTTTCTCGGCCCTTCGACGCCTAGTTCATTGGCTAAGTCTTGCTCCATCAGGGTTAGCTCGGATCCATCGTCAATGAACGCGTAGGTCTGCACTGCCTTTTCCGGTCCGTATAGTACGACAGGAACGATGCGGAATAACACTGTTGACTGACCTTGGTGGACGTTGCAGCTCGGGTCCGGTCCTTTCGGTCCAGACGGAGAGATCGTAGATGATTGCGACGTTGATGGCTTAGGCTCGTGGTGCTTTTCCAGATTGTGGAGCAGAGGATGATGCAGGAATGTACATCCGTTAGTACCGCACTTTTTCTGCTGCTTGCACCGTCGCCCACTTCGAATCGTAGCTCAATCCCTCGAACCTGGTACATTTTGCAACTGACGGACAGCTCCCTTTGCACACCGCGCACTGCTCCTTGATCGGATCCTTCGGAATGGACGGCTATGGCTTGCTATACGTTTCGATTGGTTTTGCGGCACTCGTTTCTGGCTCGGAGTGGAAGTTCAGGAACCCGTCCTTCTTGGTACTCCGCCTTTGTTGATCGCGTCCTGTATCCACCATAACAGCACTTGCATCTTCCGCTACTGCATACAACCAAGCACTGAACGTGGCGAGATTCGGGTTCGGGTTGTTACGAGCATACCTCGCCCAGTCTAGCTTTAAAGATGACGGCAGCCGCTCTACTAGCTCGTATCGGAGAGATGCATTGAAGATAAAGTCGTCGACCTCACATGCTCTGATTGTTGCGACCATATTCTTCACCGTTAACGCAAAATTCACCACTGTCTCAAGCTTTTCCGTGTTTGGTGGAGGCAGGTTCCTGATCTTCTTGACGATCGACTGTACTATCGCTTCTGGACGCCCGCAGAGCATCTTTAGCGTTCCCAATACGTCTGCTACGTTCGAAGGAAAAAGTAGCTCGCACCTCACTGCCTCCAGCGCTTTTCCTTTCAAACACTTCCGTAGTCTCAGCATGTTCTCCTCATTTGTGAATCCACACATCTGCGTGGACGACGTGAACACGGAGTAGAATAGAGGCCATTCTTCCAACGTTCCACTGAATTCAGGTAGATCCTTAGACACCGCCTGTCGAGCTGCAATTTGGCTCCGATTTAGAATACAGACCGGCTCCTCTGGAATTGTAACTGGTGTGCCTGGTTTCGGATTGCCTGATCGAATCGGTGTCGAGCGCTGGCCAGGAACGAACTGGTTGGCTTCCTCCAGGGTACCCAAATTCATCGAAGGGACGAAAGATGGTCTGGCATGGCTCTGTGGCTGCATCTGTTGGCGGTAGTACAAGTCATGGCGCGGGTCGTCACTTCGTGTGCTTGGATTTAATTCCGGAACGTAGGAAGATCTTGCACCAGCTACTGGTTCCCGAATCTCTTGACGACGCTGGCGATGTCACATATCCGGTATCGTTCCTGGCATGAACACTGTACCGTCCTGGGGATGTGAAGCACGACGTTCATTCGACGAAAATTGCTCAAACTGAATCCTTGGCGCGGTCGAAATGGATTGTGGTTGTCCAATAATAGGATGCTGGGAGCTTTGCCAGAAGCGGTTGCACTGAGCACCTAGATCCAACGGTTGCATTAACGGCTGCTTCGTATGTCGTACAGACTGTGACAGACCACTCTGGTGGGGCTGACCGAGCTGAACATTGCGAAGAATTGATGGATTTCGCTGACGCTGGACGACATCCGGAGCTCGGTGCTCCTCGGGTCTCTCCGATGTGTTCGGTGTTTGCCCATCTGCCTCCTCTACTGCTAATCCGGAATCTTCACCGTGGAGTTCGGTTTCGACTAACCACTGCTCGATCTTGGACATGTTGTCTTCGACGTCATCAGCCTCCGTAGATGTCTCGCTTCCATAAGCCGTCAGTAGGTGGTACTTCCGTTCGAGGAATCGCCTTTCCAACTCGAACTCCTCCTCGAGTTTCTTCAACTCGAGTTCCTTCATCCTTCTCGATCCACTTGTGCTGGAGCTGACCTTGCTCTTTGACCGTAGCGATGTAGGTTTCTTCGGGAGTGGATTTACTTGCTGTTGTGCGGTCATAGTATTGGTGAAACTAGTGGGGGGAATGCGTGGGACCTTACAGTTCGGACAGACCCAACTGACATTGGCAATTTCTTCCGAAACTTCCACACAGACGAAGTGGAACCACCGATTGCAACCATCACACTGCACCATTTCTTCATTATCACGCTCTTCACACAACTGACACTGGTAATCCCGGTTTTTTCGAGCGCCGCGGATTGGATTGCGCCTGACTCTGATCGCAGTACCGGTATTTCCGACATTGACAGCGTTAGATACTGTTGACCCAGTTGGATGGGGATTTTTATTTTTGGCAACGTCAACATTTACCTGGCCTTCGGTGCTAGGAGGGGAAACGATGACAACGGGTGGACCTGCCTTTTTCGTCGCGGTTTCTGCGACGAAATCTCCTCCAGTTTCTCCAACCATCCCTGGTGTTGGCGTTTCGAGGGCGCTACCAGCAGGGCTAGATGACTTCTTCGACATTATAATAGAATTTTATAAAGTGTTGCGAAGACGGCGAAACTTGAAACCAAATTCTATGAATTTATTCCGTATTGATGGAAACAATTATAAAATTCCTGCGAAAGAAACTCTTATAAACAATGTTAACATTTTTGTTATTTTTACCTTACTATTAGCGTTTCTAGTCTCGTAGTTTTCTCGCGCAACAATTGTTCTAATGTCCTACTTGTCCTCCTTTTTTTACTCCTCCTCCATTAACGTGGACTGTTCTCATAGGTTTTCCTCCACCTTTTCGTCTAGACAAAGTAGAATACGAGGTAGAATAACATAATTTTCACTCATCTCTCATTACCTAAAATCTCACCTAGATTAAGCTTTATCGAGAGGCACTAAGTTAAATTAGGTTTAAGAATAAATTCACTTTAGCTCATAGGAATTAAACTAGTATAAGTATTTTAATTTCACTTTTGAAGCAATAGAATTTAATTTAATCTGAAACCTTTCACCTTCCGCGATGGCTATTTGTTTACGATTATCTTCTTTTTTCGTCCACGTATTGTTTATCCTTGGTATCGCAGCCGATCCCTTCGCCAGCGCCAGGTGTGGCGCGCAGTGATGCAGCGTTGAATGGGGGCACCGACACTCTTTACCGACGGGGCGTAGTCAACAGCATCATTTGTTCATCGACTTTAAGGCGGCATATGACAGTATCGACCGAACAGAGCTATGGAAAATCATGGACGAGAACGGCTTTCCTGGGAAGCTGATCAGACTGATCAAAGCAACGATGGACGGTGTGCAAAACTGCGTAAGGGTTTCGGGTGAACTATCCAGTTCATTCGAATCTCGCCGGGGACTGCGACAAGGTGACGGACTCTCATGCCTACTCTTCAACATTGCTCTAGAAGGTGTAATGCGACGAACCGGGCTTTTGTGTGCTTTGCGGACGACATGGACATTATCACAAGAACATTTGGAACAGTGGCAGAACTATACACCCGCCTGAAACACGAAGCAGCAAAGGTCGGACTGGTGGTGAGTGCGTCAAAAACAAATCACATGCTAGTAGGCGGAACCGAACATGACAGGATTCGTCTAGGAAGTAATGTCACGATAGTCGGGGATACTTTCGAGGCAGTGGAGGAATTCGTTTACCTTGGATCCTTAATGACGGCTGACAACAATGTGAGTCGTGAAATACGAAGGCGCATCATCAGTGGAAGTCGTGCCTACTACGGGCTCCAGAAGAAACTACGGTCAAAAAAGATTCACCCCCGCACCAAATGTACCATGTACAGAACGCTAATAAGACCGGTGGTCCTCTATGGACACGAGACATGGACTATGCTCGAGGAGGACCTGCAAGCACTCGGAGTTTTCGAGCGACGTGTGCTAAGGACGATCTTCGGCGGTACCAATTTACTTTTAGTCAGCCTTTAACTATACGCGATCATGTGATCCACAGCTGAAAGCGAATTGAATGATGATAATACATTATAATGAAAGTTTTAATGGCAATAAATGGTTGCGCTTAGAAACACTCCAAAACCATGCAAATTTGGTTTAGGTGCATGGCATGGGAGTGTCCTGCACCCGAAGTTGAACAGAGCTCACGGTTGGACAACTGAAGGTGTTTCCTCATTCCATCGGTTTTCGTAGAAGCTTTACGAACGAAAACAAACAAATGGCAACTTTCTAGGATGAAAAGTGAAAAATCATTTGAAATTGGAAAAGTAATGCTGCATGCGTTCGATGTTCCAGCAGACAATATATGCTTAATCATTTGAGTTTCGTTTGCAGTTTTATTGGGGTAGAGAAAAACTTTTGCTTCCGGGATCTATTATAAGAGCATTAAAAAGTGCTAGATTATTAGCTATTAATTTTGATGAAAGCAGTGAAGTTCTTCACCAAAACTCAAAATTTCAAGAACAGCATAAATTGACATTACCAAAAAACCGCAAACCCCTTTCACTTTTCAAACTCATGCTTATTCATGCTAATTATGGAAATTAACACCACTACTGCTCCCCTTCTCGATGCCAACCAAGCACGCAAACGAAATTAATTACTTCTAATGGATCATGCATCACCTCTCAGCCCGATGAAAGCAACTTTTTATGCGTGCACGGCAAACTTTTTCGTTCTGCACCCCTTTTTTTTTTTTGCTCCCTAAAAGCCTCACAACCATCACGACATCAACTTTATCATTTTTCCGGAGAAAATCCTTTGACCGAAAAAAAAGTGACCCCTCCAGCTATACGCACCAAAGACAATTAAATATATTCCTCCCGTCTCAGCGCGATGACCTAAAACTCATCCGCAGTCAGCAAAACGGAAGCTAGACCCTCTCGGAAGTGCCCCTGGCTTGCTAACGTACAGCCGACGACGACGACGTTGTCTTGCCTCTATAGGTCACAAATCCTTTTGTTCTCGATTGCTATCTCTGTTAAAGTGGCGGCGGTGGCTGGAGTCGGTTGTAAAATCTGAATTCTATCCACCTCCGCTCAGATCGCACCTTACTTACACATTCGTCCAACATCAATGCTAATTACTATTTAAAATAGTAAGCATCTCAGAATGCATCGATAAGTCAATCACTGAACGCGAGCTTTCAAACGATTCCCATACCATACCATTCCCAGAAAGGTAAAAAAATACTTTTTTTTTTTAGCACGCATACAATTTTTTACAATCGGCTCTTTGTCTAACTGGTCATATTCATGTCGTTCGCGGACGCGTTCCCGCTTTCATGGTTCAAAAGGTCAAGTCGGAGGAGGGGAGCAGGGGGAGGTTTTGGCGGAAATGGTGCCAAACCCTATTAAAAAGTTTTAAATGGACAAAATTTTAATCTACAACCGTGCGAGTAGCGCGGAAAGGCACTCAGGTTCCAGTTTGGTGTGATATTAATGAATTTGAGAATTTGAACGCGTTGCTTGATGCTGAGTGACCTAATGGCGAGTAGTGTTTTGAGATCAAAGTTTTATGGAAAAGTTCGTGTGAATCAATAGCGGTAATAAATCAAATCAAATTCCGGCCAGTGATATGAAGGGGGTCTACCGTAATGCAGCCGGCAAGAACATGCTGGTGGAGATGGATTTGATTCTTGGTTAGGTCCAAGTACGGGTACGGGTTGAACATTTGTTTCGACTTCTCTGGGCATATTGGCTAGGGCTGCTTTTGCGAGTTTACGAAATGTATGGAGATCTAAAGATAGAATTTTCAATTCAAACGTGAAATCTGTGTTGTTATGCGCCAGCGAGACGTGGTGTGCAGCAGCGGAAAACACTCAAAAACTGCAGGTCTACATCGACCGATGCCTGCGGTATATAATTCATGCCTGGTGGCCTCACAACTGGATCTCGAATGCTGAGCTCCATCGTCGATCTCATCAGAAACCGATATCAACAGAAATCAAGAACGTAAGTGGAGGGGCGGAAACTAAATTCGTAAACACGCGCTGGATTGGAACCCGGCAAGACATCGCAGCAGAGGCAGACCCAGATGCTCATGGCGGCGAACCCTCAACAAGGAAATAAAGGCATCTGACCTGGAAAGAATACTGAAACCGGCATTGGTTCAAGGGAAGCTTTCAGTGTGTTGCATAAACAGCCAAAGTATTTGTCGATACAAGAAGTTTTTAACTAAGTACACTGCAAAACATTCTGAATTATAGTTGTGATGTAAACATTTATTCACGTAGACTTGTATTTCATTTCACGCAAACGAGCAACTTCTATGCAATGTTGTTTAAAATATGGACATTTGCATACAATATTTGCAACATTTCATGAAATGTCTCAGAACTTAACACGATTTATAATGTAAACTTAGATGAGATATAACGCTCCTTTTATGTGCATCATATTGAACAGAAATTTACACTACTTTTTCGAACTGTGTAGCATCTAATACGACAATCACAAATAGAAATGGTTATTTGCTGTAACGTGCCAGTGCGGTGTTACTCCAAGCCTCAGGGTCGGCACACGCTCGTGACAATTCCGCGAACCAAGAAAACACACTTCCTTCCCACTTCACGAACAGCCTAGAACCAGACGTCTCCCACTTCCTTAAATGTCTACACTTCCTTAAATGTCTACTAGCACTAATCTTCGTTTTGACGTAGGACTACGTCTTTGATTTCTATATGGGGGTACACTTTGTGAAAACCGAAAATGGAACATGTAACAAATTAAGAAAGATTTTGAACGTTAATAACTCAGCTGCCCCTGGTCCAATTTCAATAATTTTATCACCAATCGATCAGAAATATGGCTACGCATTGATAAAAATGCTTCCAAATGTTGATTTTTAACAAGAAACTATTGAAAAACTGGTAAATGGTCAGCATTGTCCAAAAGCGTCGAATTAACTAACAAATCCACCAATTACCTACATGCATATGCTGCTTCCCCAGCACAGTCGTCAGAGAGCAGTAAGTAGACGAAACAAGTCGAAGTGGCATTCGCCTCCGATCCTCGGGCGCGTGCGAATAGGGAGGATGGAATTGCGTAATACTTTACACACTCATCGCCATGTTCAGAACCAAACGCAAATTCTTCGAGATAACCACCATCCGTCGTCTGGCTCGCCGTGGCGGTGTCTGACGTATCTCCGGTTTGATTTACGAGGTGTGCTGAAGGTGTTCCTGAAAAATGAGATCCGTGATGCTGTCACCTACACTAAACACGCCAAGCGTAAGCGGCCATGGATGTCATCTACGTTTTTGAAGTACAGAGACGCACTCTGTTTGGTTTCGGAGGTTAAATCATCACCAACCTTGGAAACAAAACGGCTCTTTTCAGGGCCACCAAGCTTATTACAGTAAAGAGTAGGAATAGAATTCATCTGCCTGTTTGTCCATATTCAGAACCACCGACCACACAAAATGCTCATGTAATCAAACTGGAAGCAGGGATACAAATTGTTTTGATCAACCTTGATCAACTTTGAATCGCCACGGCCGGATATTTTCGATGGAAGAAGCAACAATCTAGCATCAAATTCAACGAAGACGTCAG